CAGACCGCCGTGCCTTTCGGACAGCAGAGTAAGTTTGCGTGGCGTTTGTGTCGGTCGGCTTTAACGCCATCGAGTTTAAGGTCAGAAATGGTGACGGGTTGTTTGTGTTTCCGTAGATCCGCAGGTCGTCCCTCCGGAGAACCACTTCGGTCAGGTGGACGTGAACGACCTGCTGTCCAAGCTCCTCTCCACCGGCATCATCAAACCCTCGCAGCCCGACGCCGCGCCCGCCTCCAGCAGCGGTCAGTGAAGCCCCTCCCTCTGTCACCTTTACCCTTCTTCTTCAGTCGAGTTTGACGTGTTTGTTTTTTTCCAGAATCGTCTTCTGCACCTCCGCCGGCACCGCCGCCAGAGGAGGAGGAAGAGGAGGAGCAGGAGGTGGAGGGTGAGGGCGAGGGCGAGGACGACGTGCTGGACCTCACCAGCTTCAGCGTCGACGATATGAAACAGTGAGTATTTGCCTGTCCTCATCGTCGTGGTTACACTTTGTTCTGCTGTGACTCACTTTGCCCCGCCCCTCCCGCAGGCGCTACGAGAGCGTGGTGACGAAGCTGTACTCAGGGAACCAGTGCTGCCTGTGCAGCATGCGCTTCACCGCCGCCCAGACCGACATGTACGCCGACCACCTGGACTGGCACTTCAGGCAGAACCACGCCGGCAAAGTGGCGAGCAAGAAGGTCACGCACCGCCGCTGGTACTACAGCCTCACGGTGAGAACGCACACGCCTCACGGGGCACGGCGCCTAGCTCCCCGCGGAGCGCTCCGATGTAACGATGCGTTTGTCGTGCAGGACTGGATCGAGTTCGAGGAGATCGCCGACCTGGAGGAGCGCGCCAAGAGCCAGTTCTTCGAGAAGGAGAACGAGGAGGAGGTGCAGAAGAGCCAGGCGGCGGCCAAGGAGAAGGAGTTCCAGAGCGTGAGAGCCACCAAGGACCAGGTGGGGGAGGTGAGTACGGCGGACGGCCAATCGACCGCCAACCTGACATCACAGGCTCGGCCAATAAGAATGCTTCCTTCCTCCCTGCAGAGCTGTGAGATCTGTCAGGAGCCCTTTGAGACGTACTGGGTGGAGGAGGAGGAGGACTGGTTCCTGAAGAACGCCGTCAAGGTCGATGACAAGGTACACCGAGGCTCCGCCCAAACACGCCTAATCAGTAAGATGACCAATAAGAACAAAGCGAGTGACCAGCTGTTTGTTTTCCCTCCACAGAACTTCCACCCCGCCTGCTTCGAGGATTATAAGAACGTAAGTCCTCCCTCACCTCCTCCCTCACCTCCTCCCTCCCTCACCTCCTCCCTCACCTCCTCCCTCCCTCACCTCCTCCCTCACCTCCTCCTCCCTTATCTCCTCCTTCCTCCTCTTTCTTCTTCTCTGGTATAAACTCACGTGTTTTTCTTTGCGCCGCTCTCATTTGTCTCCTCAGACATCGTCGTACGTCGACGTCACGCCGTCGCCCAGTAAGCTGCTGACCGACCACCCGCTGGGCGCCTTCGTGAAGACTGAAGAAAAGCAGGAGGAGGTCACTTCCTGTGCTGTTGCTGCCGCTGCTGCTGCTGCCGCCACCTCAGTGAAACAGGAGGTGCAGAGTGAGAGCGGGGAGCCTCCTGAAGTGAAGACGGAGGCAGGTGAGGAGGCAGCGGCGGCGTTGTGAGGTGGCGGCAGTTTTTAGCTGCAGGGACTCGTCCTCTGCGTCTGTACTTGAATACGTTTTTGTATTTGGACTCGCGGCCGCGCGGCTGCCTCAGTGAACCTGTACATGACCTAATTTATACATTAAAGTATTTTTGGTAACTCTGGTGTTACAGTGATTGAATCAGCTGTTACCCCTGTACATAGATTATTGATTGGTTGGTTTATCGATGGGCCCTCGCAGGTGTTGAAGGTAAGCATCGTCTGAGCGGGAGGCGTCGTGGACTCGTCTACCGTTGTTTTTCTTTCTCTTTGGATCAATAAAAGCATCTGAAAGCTGTTTGTGTGAATACTGATTGATCTCATTGATCGTTAATTGCCTCAGTTTTTCTGTCATCTGGGTTCCAAACATCAATAAAGGTTCAGTGGGTTCAAACATCCTGCTCTGGGTATTTATTCCTGTGTGTGTCTGTGTATTAAAAGTTCATTTGAAGAGGAAGTGAAGCTGGTGCTGAGCCGACAGTCGAAGGATAAGAACTGAATTCATCTCAGCTTAAATAAACTCACCTGCCACTTGTAGTATCAGCCAATCACATGACGGCTCATTTTGCAGTGAAGACACGAGGTCAGAGGTGAAAGTGCTGCACTCAGATGGCCTCCACAGACCAGTAGAGGAGCTTTACTGTCATGATGGCTACAACAGCATGTGATGATGTCATGATGATGTCAGATCAACATGGATCCTGATCTCCAGCAGCTCCAGGCTGGTGATGCTGAGGTGTACCTAATAAAGTGTCAGCAGTGTTTCAGGAGTGAAACAGGTTGCACTTTGACCTCTCAGGAAGCGTGAGGCCGTTTTCTGGGATCTGATTGGCCAGTAAGCTGCAGGTGAAGCTGACAGGGAGACGGAGATGAACCCTCTTCTTTGGTCTCACTTGTATATTCAGCACTTTGGCGGAGTCTGCTTTCATTTCTGGTGTTTTGGACGCGTTATTTCGAGGTTACACTTCCTGTGAGCGCTGGGCGAGCTGCACTTCCTCTGACTGACCGCAGAGTGGCGCTGTCACCCTGCAGCAGCAGCTGGGCGCTGCCTTTTGACTTAAAAATATGTATATCCTGAGGTTTTTGAATTCGGAGCTCTCTGTGGGTCCGTGAACGCGGCACAGGCGGATGTCTTCGTGCTCTCAGCAACAGCGGTTTGTGGAGTTCGAGTCGGAGGGTGGAGGAGTGCGGAGCAGACTGCGTGATTCTCTCTGTCCGGATCGATCACAGCTGATCAGATGGGATCGATGTGTTAGAGGTGCGTGGCGTTCACTTTCAGCTGATTTTAGTTGTTTGTGAAACTTTCGGGGTTTAAACCGAGCGGGTGGGAAACCGAACAGCTGCGTGACCTCTGACCCTTTTAAACAAACGTTAATTAAAATTCTCGCGGGAAGCAGCATGTGATTGCTGAAGCGGCAAAGTATCGATAGATCAGCGATGGGGTCACGTGCTGCTGTGTTATTTAAAACGCGGTGAAAAAGACTAGCTCAGCTGAGAGAGATGAGCACCGGGCCGTGAACGCCTCCTCCTTAATCAAACTCAGCTTTGTGCGTAAAACGATCAGATCAATGATCAATAATCCCAGTCCTCACGGGAGAAGCCAGACTTCACCCAAAACAGCCTCGTGTGCTCCGTTTTAGCTGCCAAACCACAGCCAGATAAATCCTCTAAAAGTGGCCGAAATTTGAATGGAGTCTGGTTCTGTTCTCTCAAACACCCACAGGACAGCACTGTGTTATCTTTGTCAATGCAGGGCGAAAATTGAGAGACTTGTGAATGAAGCCTGGCTCTGCTCAGAGTGTGAGGACAGACACGAGATCTGGTTGTATTTGAGCAGATGTGTATTATATATAGTATTATATACTAATGAATGTGTGGGAAACCAGCCCTCGGTGTGTCTGTACAGTGTTTTTGTTTGATGAAAACAGAACCAGAAAGTAAGAAGTTCACTTGAATAAACGCAGTCCTAAAGTAGCCAGATTGTCAGTTTCCCACTCAGCGCTGTTCTCCTCAAATACAAAGATTATGAGTTTCAGAATAAAATCTAACGTGAACACAGTTTGAATGAAGTCGCGTTTCAGTTTTTATTCTGAAAGGCTTCTTCTGCTTCCTCCTCAGATATGGCGTGTGTGTGTGTGTGGCTGGCGTGTGTGTGTCTGCTGAGCATGCGTGTTGAGGCTCATGATGGATTGGATAGAAGCAGTGACTACGCCCACCTGGAGCAGCATCACCATCATGTGGTGTCCACCAGCGACACAACCTCAGGTATGAAGCACTCTGATGTTCATATGTATATGAATGATGTCAGCCACCTCTTATTTAACTGTTTACAAAACAAACCTTTATTTTTTAAACAAACCGGAGATCCTGATTACTTTTCAAATTAAAAGACTTCCTGTACCATCTTAGGATGCTGTAGATTACATTCATTTTAAATTAAAGTGGCTCAAAATACTGTTATTAATTATGCTAGAAGTCATCGTGATGGCAGAAAAATCCTGAATCATTCCCAGTCCGTTATAATTAGCTTGCTAACTACTTGTTAATCATGTTAGCCGTTACCGTAGAGAGTAAATGTTAGTTGTACATCTTTGCTGGAGAAAATTAACATTGTTTGATGATTTTAATACAAGTGACATCACGGTGAGGTTAGATAGCTAGCTGTTAGATCGCTATTCTACGTAAAACTCGTAGCTGACCATACTAGAGATTTTGGATGAATTAGCCTACCTTATCTACTCAGGACAGTAAGTTTATTACATCAGGTAGCTTTTAACCCTTGTAATGTCCTCTGGATTCCCATACACCTGGGGTCATTTGACCTGAGGACAACACACGGGTTAATATGACTGGGTTAGCAAGCATGCTAGTGTAGCTAACATTAGCTAGAATAAAGATGGCTAATAATCCGTCCATGAGTCACTCCTGTCCTAACTGACCAGGGCTTCATTAAATAACACCTGTTTTTTTCCAGTTCATACTAACTAATGCTAGCTTACTGGCTAATGCGAGAAAATTGCTTGATACCCAGCAAGGTTACCTTTGCTGCTACATTGCTACCTGTTTTGCTAAGGTTAGTTCAAAATGCTAACTGAACCCAAATCAGGTTTTTTGTGCTTACATGACCTGAAACTCATGAGGTGTTTCCTGAGCTCAAGGCTATTGGCTCATGGACTTCCAATCAAGACTTCTCTTTTAGGGTCACCCCCTTGCTGGACATTAGAAAGCATGCAGACACTGGAAAACTGGCTTCAGTTTACGTCCATCTTTTATAAGCAGTCTGGACCTGCCCCTCTGCAGGTTTTCAGGATCAGGCCAATCATAAGAATGTGGGCTTTTAAGGAGGGGTGCCTTAAAGAGACGGGAGCAGCCAGTTTCAGACAGCAGATCTACAGATCTGAGAACAGGCCTGGTAACACGCAGAATAAGCCCCCTCCATTAAAACAACTGCTTGTGGAGTTTGACGTGTCAGTGTTGAGGTTTTCTCCAAGGGTCATGTCCAGTCTGACCAGAGGACAAACGATGATCTGCTGCTCGTTCTTC